GCAATAGAAAGCACCGTGGAGTTTAGTCTTTCATAGACAGGTATTCACGTTAAAACACATTGACTCTCTGTCGGGGTGTGGGCGAAAATCAGCGATATGTTGAAGAACTTCGCTTTGATGCCGATTGTGAAGACGTTCATCCACCGGGATGAATACCAATACTCGGCGATGGAGTTTCTCTCCCACCACAAATGCCACAAAGAATTTTCGCTCCTTTATGTGGCCACTAGAGTAAGTACTTAAGCCAATAATAAGGCATGAAATAGAAACAATACACATTCTTTGGTTTAAACGTATCAATGCAAACATTTCGTGAACATTATGATATACAGGTTTAACAAAAGATTTTTTGTCTAAAATTAAGAGAGTGTCGAGAAGCACATACTGCTGTTCAGTTGGAATAGATTTACGTTTGATGACATGTGGTTTCTATTCAACTGGATAACTTTGTTTGAGTACTTCAATGTATAGTTTTTGTCAAGATAGCGATATTCAAAAATAGCGCGCCGAAAATGGTCAAACGAAGCGCCACTTTTAGGAATTTGTAAAGAATAATTAATATATATAGGGATTCCAAATTCATAGTAGTATATTATTCTTTTTGAACTTGTTGTACTATATGTTTTAACAGACTTTTTAATGGGCAGTGCAACGTAGTAGGTATGTGAATAAGAGTATATGTACTTACGAATTACTTGGATACTTTCAGATTAATTAATTTTCTTAACTTTGTAGTTAACCCGCGGATCTTCTTGTAGGGAGTTGATGACATGCTTTGGTAGCGTTATTGCTGGCAATACTATTGAATGTGCCAATTCCTCGCTTTCTTCATCTCTTCTAAAAAATTAAGTTTGATGAATATAATTAGTAGATAAATGATATATCCGTATAAAATCGACTTAGGGATGAAGAATATTGATGCGGTGTTATATTTTTACCTTTCCTTATAATATGTGCATATACAATCATCTTCGCTACATTTCACGAACAGACACAGTAAGCATGGCAATAGCAGGAGAGTCAAAAGCGTGCCCAACAAAAATAAAATACTGCCAACCCAGACACCGTTCTACAAATATATATATTTAATTTTAATTCTTACCTACAAATATTAAGTAAGTGAATTTAAATTAATTAAAGAGAAGACTGTGCTTGGATATTTTAAAAGCAATATACCGTTATTTGGAAATTATAATAGGATTTGCTATTGCAGGTACGTTTCTGTTAATTGTACTGAGTAATACACATCCATTTGAATCTGCTTATAATAATGCATGACAGTAAGGGTTGACGTAAAGTCTGCCAGACGGCGGCTACGCTGGCTAGTTCATGTCGTCCTAATGGACGAAAACACATCAGTTCTGAAAGTATTCGACGCAGTACCCGCTGAGGAAAGCGGAGGAAGAGGAAGACCTCTACTCTGTTCTAAAGACCAGGTGGAAAACGACCTAGCTTCGCTTGGAATCTCCAATTGGCGCAATATAAGCGGTTTCTGAAAGTCTGTCAGGTGTTCCAAAATCCCAGATATCAGTTACATGGGGGCTAAGGCAGGTTTTGTCAATTTTAGGCAGAAACACTGTTATTAGGAAAACACGCTCTCTCTACTTCAATAAAAACAAGAAAAAACCTTAACTTCGGTTGCACCGAAGCTAAATACCCTTCACAGGCGCATTTCTGTTAGTAACTATGTGTTCAGTTTGTATGGAAGCTATATGCTTTAGTAATCCGTTATGAACAATTTTTTTTGGAGATTACATTGTTGTCTTAGAAAATAATATTTACCAAATTTCGTGAATATATCTTGTCAAATGTGAAAGTTGTCCATACAAGCATTTGATTCCGATCGTTCAGTTTGTATGGCAGCTATATGTTATAGTGGTCCGATATCGGCCGTTCCGATAAATGAGCAGCTTCTTGAAGAGAAAATGTCGTTGAAAATGAAATTCATATATATACAGACAGACGGACATGGCTAAATCGACTCAGCTCGACATACTGATCATTTATATATATACTTTGTAGGGTCTCCGACGCTACCTTCTGGGTGTTACAAACTTCGTGACAAACTTAATATAGCCTGTTCAGGGTATAAAAATCTTATCCGAATATGTTAATTGGCGCTTGACATTTAAAATTGAGTGCATGGGAAGTAGACGTGACTGTAGTCCGATTGCGTCCATGTGTGCCCATTAACATCGAATAGTCAGAATAGTGTTATGAACCGAATTTAGTTGAAATTGGTTGAGTAAGTTCGGAGATGTGTACTTTCACCTAAAGAGGGGTGATGCCTCGCTCATCATTCATTTTTTACCCCGGCTCCTGTAAAGACCTCTTCAACTATACCGATTGTAAATTTTAATCTCTCTAAAGCATTTAGTTAGTTTTAACAAAACTGAGAGAAAGCGGAGTTATAATCCGGTTGAATCCGTTTTCACGCAGTTGATAGTGGTACTTAAAGGATTTCTCCTAAGCAAATTTAGTTCATGTAGCTTTAGTAGTTTAGTATGTACATTGAATCATGTCTATTTTTCAAAATCTTTGCTCTAAGGGACTTTATAATCTGACTTTATAAGCTGTTTGCTGGGTGTGGTAATTCCAGTACCGTTTGTTTCGAAAGTAGGTAAAATTTAGGTAATTATACTATATAGAATTGTATTGCAGATTAGATGTGTACTTACCAACATGTACGATTCACAGTTACAGAATTCTTTCTGTTTGATCGTTGCAGAGCTAAGCATATCTTCACATGGTCCAAGCTCTTGCTTAAGCTTTTCCTCAGAATTTGTTTTGAACGCATTTACGTTCTGAACGAGGAGTGATATTTCTTTAACATATTTATTACAAGAGTCAACAGTAGTTTTACACAACGAATTTAGTTCATCGTAGGCCGGTTTTAAGGATTCGGTAAAATGTTTACCCGCTTTATAACCACTACTACATCGTAGATATTCTTTTCGAGGCAGTCGCTTTGAAACTTCTCTACCATGTTTTGCCAGATCCAAAAGGCATAACGTTTTATTTTTTCGTAATTTAGCAAAATAGTTTTTGTCAAAGTCCGACATGCTGATGTCATGCCATTGAATAAACAGAAGGAGAAACAATTGTGATTATTATATGAAAACCAAGCAAGGTCCTCTCACAATCTGGAGGAATCAAAACTAAGACACTTCAGACGTGGCTATTAGAAAAAAATTTTAATTGTTTGACAGCTTATTAGCTTAAATTATGGTTAAGCGCCATCACATATTTTTAGCATTAAATTACAATGTACATATCTAATGCCCACGATAATGTGTTTTGTTAAGGAATCTGACATACTGAGCGATTTGTATGGCATGAAGTCAACTAATAAAATGACAAATAATATTTTGAGTAGAAGATCTCTCCAGAAATGCGAACCTTAGTTTTAATGGAAAATTAGAATGTTTTAGTAATCATTTCATGAAATAGGAATGAAAATATCCCCATAATAAACCAATTTCATTTGAGAGGTACAACTTGTCAGGAATCTAATTTGTTCAAATTTGCCTAGGATCTTTATGCAAAAATAAGTAAAAATAATAGCCTTGTTAGCTAGATTTAATCGGTTTCGAAGTATACTCGAATACATTGATAACATTCTTAATTAGAATTTTCCGATAAATTTGTTTTTTCTATCTTACTTACTTTTGTTGATATTCGCCGTGTTTGCTAATGATGAGATCTAGCCACGATTGGTTAAATGCTTTATATTCACAGAAATTTTTATTTGGATAATCCTTTGAGGCGCCAAACACTATATCTATAAATTTCCGATCCAAAATGGTGCAAGTGTCCATGCAGTCTTCTAAAATTTCAGCTTCATCAATGGTACTCCATTGAGACAAACCTTTTATCCAATGATTGTCTGTCAATAAAGTGTATACCTTCTGATTATCTGTGCATTGCTTGTGCATCATATAAATGAAACTATCCGCTTTTGTTCTATAAAGATACAATAAATGTGGAAACATACTGAATATAGAACTGTATATATGTATATATTATAAAAAATTGCACCAACACAGCGCGGGATCATGTACCTTGTATTTTCTTTGCACAATCCATTATAACCAATAACTCCATAGAAGAAATGGAAAAATGTTACGAAAGCCATGAGAATGAAAACCAATGTAAGAATTATAAAGATACTGAAAATTGTAAAAAAAAATTGAAATTATGTTTGGGTGTCAGTATTCAAACCTACAATATGAGAGGTTTGATCATAGCTTTAAATTTCAAACACAAACTGCATAATAGAAGCATTAGATAAATGGCCAGCACCTGCAAATAAATAAGAACTTTTACTTGTAAAAATTCACTTTTTAATAGTCCAAAATTTTAGAATATTACAAAAACAACTATTGAAGAGCGAAATTTGGGTGTAAATGAACAATTCATACTCTTGCTACTTGAATTCCGTCAGATGCTGACAAATCTTCATATTAAGCAAGTAATGAAGGGCTAAGTTTGGGTAAAACATTTATACATTTGCAACTTGCATTATTCAAAGCTTGGCAGGTGTAAAACATACCAGAGGATCGGAATCCCAGCAATTTGGTATATTAACTCATTCACTGGCCGACATATAATATTAAAAAGATTTTAGCTATTTTTGCCATACAAATACCATTCAAATACTATTAACATGCCTCATACTAAACAATTTTCTCTAGGTTTCATAAAGTATCTCTCATACAATAACCAATCATATGGAGTAAAGTCAGCCGGATGTTCGAAAATCCTAAAGCCAGTTTTTACCAAAAAAGTAAGACCGAGTTCGTAGATGGGTGAAATCGGATCACTGCCACGCTCACAAAACACCGTTAATCGAAAACGTATAACTTACAATTAATATTTAACCGTAAATTGAGATGTAGAATTAAGATTTTGCACAACGAAACACATTAAAGAGAGGGTAGGTTTATTTTATATATCTTCTTCACCCAAAATTGCAGTGAAATAATTCTTGCAGTCCTTTACGACAGTGCAAGAATATATGAAAACGGATGATTACCCAACTCAACAAGTCCCCACATAAAGGTTTTGTTAAAAACTATTAAAACTACGATAAATTAATAACGAAATGCACCAGAGACAGGAAGGGGAGTGGCACTACCCAATTTTAGATGAAATCACATATCCCGGGATCTGTTCTACGACGGAAGAGAAGAACGATGTGACCAAAGATGCCTTCTATGAGCGCTTGGAGCGCACTTATGAGAGCTGCCCCGCCACGATATCAAGATCGTGCTTGGCGGCTTTAACGCCAGGGTGGGCAAAGAAGGTATCTTTGGCACTACGGTCGGTAAATTCAGCCTCCACGAGGAAACATCCCCAAATGGGAGGAGGCTGATCGACTTCGTCGGGCCCGAAATGCGGTTATCTGTAGTACTAGATTCCAGCATTAGAAGATTCATCAAGCTATCTGGCTGTCTCCGGATCAAAAACTCACTAACCATATCGACCATGTTGTGATAGATGGAAGACACGTCTCCAGTTTTTAGACGTGAGTGCGCCCCGAGGTCTTAAAATAGACTCGGACTACTATTTTGTTGCAGCCAAGATTTGCACCCGCCTCTGTGCAGCAAAAAACGTACGTCGCCAAACACAAGAAAGATTCGAGATCGAGAAGCTATAGAGAACTGTGCGGTTTTCAACTTGACTTACACTTTTGCTCTCTGAGAGCTCTCATCAGCGACTCTGTGTAAGGGATATGTGAAAAGGTTAGTTAGTTCTGCTTTCTCCAGACTAGATAAGGAAGCAAAGCAAATGGATCTGATTGAACGACGGCAAGACGAAAATTGGCACCCAAGTCACTGCTGACAGTCATAACTTTGAAGTTGTAGATAATTTCGTCTATCTTGGAATCAGCGTAAACACCACCAACAATGTCAGCCAGGAAATTCAACACAGGATAACTCTTGCCAACAGGTGCTACTTCGGACAGAGTAGGCAATTGAGAAGCAAAGTCCTCTCTCGACGAACAAAAACCAAATTCTATAAGTCACTTATAATTCCCGTCCTGCTATATGGTGCAGAGGCTTGGATGATGACAACAACTGAACAACAAAAGTTCTGCGAAAAATTTATGGTACTTTGCGAGTTGGCCACGGCGAATATCGCATTCGATGGAACGATGAGCTGTACGAGATATATGACGACATTGACATGGGCTGGCTAGGTCATGTTGTCCGAATGAACGAAAATACTCCAGCTCTGAAAGTATTCGATGCTGACTCGCCGGGGCAAACAGAGAAAGAGGAAGACCTCCACTCCGTTGGAAGGACCAAGTGGAGAAGGACCTGGCTTCGCGTGGAATATCCAATTGACGCCACGGATCGAAAAGAAGAAACGACTGGCGTGCTGTTGTTAACTCGGCTAGAATCGTAAGCGCTACGTCTATTAAGAAGAAGAAGAATTTAATAACACCGTTGAACATTTTTGGGATTATTGTCTGGGGGGTTAGAAATTCCAAGTCAGGGTGATGGTACTATGTCAGTATAGTAAAAGCCCCAATTTCCGAGAATGCTCTTAACATCCTTGCGACAGAAACATCGTAGTTGTTAGAACGATGCTTTCCCAACAAGGCTTCTATTACTTCTTCGATTGCCTGCCATGCATTCAATATATAACAATCAAAATATTGTTGAATGCGTCACTTTTAATCAGCTTTCGTATATCTGGACCATTTAGTACGCCTGATYGGAAAAAATTAATTTGTTAAGATGGAAAACCATTGGAAATAACGAAAAAAATTTAAAAGGTCATAAAAAAACATACGAACGCCAACCCCTTTGAGGGTTTTACCATACTGACCAAGTACCATCACCCTGACTTGGAATTTCTCACCCCCCAGATTAGCTGTTGTACTGTGTAACAAGTAAGAAAGGGGAAAGTTCGGGTGTTATATATATTATATACATATATACATATATACACATATATATAGAACTCATACACTGATGAATTTGGCATTGTTAGAAAAACGGAAACGTACTATAAAGTTTTATTATCTTGACACATATGGAGCGAAGTCAGCCGGATGTTCTAAAAATCCTAATATTAAATATATGGAAGCTAGGTCAAGTTTTCGCCGACTTATATCCAGTTTAGGTACAAAGTTAAACATGTTCTGTAATTTTCATAGAGATAACTCAAATTTAGGCCGATATATCAAGCATAAAGTCGCGTGGAAGTTCGAAAATCCTTATATTCTTCTTAACACGAGCTTTATAAATATAATTTTGTATTCCTTTCCAAAAAATTTTTTTACTAATAAGGGGTATTTCAATAGGGATGCTACAAAATTAGACCGAAGTAGTAGTAGTAGGGGCAGCAAACGACACCACATTTCTCTTATTCTGGTTTGCCATTTCATCGCGAAAATATTATATATGCGATCCAACAACAAGTTGAAAATATTAAAGCCGAAATACAGAGTCGGTGGCCTCAATTTTAAGAGCGCTTCATCCAATTTATCGTCGTTATAATCGTCCTGTCAGATCGACAATTGAGCGTCTAGTGGAAAATTTTTAACCAGTGAGACAAAGAAGTGCCCGTAGTGTCGAGAATATCGCTGCCGCTATCGCATTATTGAGGAAAACCCAAACGCACGTCGTTCTCAAGCGATGGACATATCCGTGAGGTCGTTGTGACGAATTTTGCTAAAAGATCATCGCTTACATCCTTACGAGATCAAATTGACACAAGAACTGAAGCGGCTTGACCACTACAATCGACGTATGTTCTTGAATTGTGTTGAGTAACAAATAAGCAAAAAATGCTTTCCAAATACTACATATAATCGTTTTCGTTTTTCTAACAAACCTTATATATATAAAATTTCTTGGCATTCTATTCTCAGGTAGACGCAAGAGTATAAAATGTTCGGTTGCACCCGAACTTAGTCCTTCCCTACGTGTTACTTATGAATTATTTTGACTCTTAACATAATAAATATATAAAAATTTTTATCTTTTTAGTTGGATCATACTGAAATCCGTTCAATTCATGCGTATATAAGTACATAGTTGTTGATATTTTGAAAGTCGCTATGAAAGGTACTTACCGCTATGGCTATAATACATATAATATATCCAAACTTGTATGGTGCATTACGTTCCGTCATTTTCTTCTGAAAGAGTGTTTTGACCTTTTCGTTTATAAAATTTTTTTGTTGATTGACACTCGCCGCTTTTACATATTTAATTTCGAGTAATGATGAGGTTTTTAATTTCGATCCGAAACGAAATGAACATATTAGGCTAATTTTAATGCATATGATTGGTTGCAGTTTCCAAAAAATAGCCAGGTGCGTTCCAAAGTACACAGCACTTAAAAAAAAATAACAAATGGTAGTCTAAAGCATGTCGAACGAGTGTTTCAGCTCGTGCAAGCCTTTTGAATGGCCTCTAAGTCTGCACAATGCTTTCATGGGGAAATGCATTTTTAATGTTAATGATTAAAACGTGATTTTTGGTCAAATAATCGTCCTTCGAGTGTTGCATTCTGAGTGCGGAACAAGAGTACCTTTCATCTTTGTTCGAATCTCATTTCATCGCACCGATAACACAAACATACTGACACTTAAAACGCAATAACTTCACTTCCAATCTATGAAATGTCATGAAATTCTCACTGGACAATCGATAAAGATAGCAGTTTCTAACGCACCAGTCGACATATAGACGGCGCCACCAGGGGGCGCTAGGTTTAAAAAGTTCTGTTTACTTTGGAATACACCTTTTATATAAAATGTGTTTATGATAAAAAGAGTTCAGCAATGGACTCACTTTAAGATTTGATACAACTCGTATTTCTTACACTTACAAAAGTATATATGTATGTACACTTACATATTTCATCAAAATAATCCTCAATATGGGCACACACACGTGACATCCTCATATTCGATTGCGCAGTTCTGGCGTAGTAAGGCAGGAGTTCTGAGATCATATTTGAGGAATTGTATAATTTCCCCCACTGTTTAGAAAGAAGTGAAAAAAACAGATTATAACAGTATGAGCAGTAAACCATAACGTAGAAATTGGTTAAGGAGCTAATACTACAGCGTCAAATAATAATAATGTTGCATTAAATTTACTCGGCTATAAACTGTCTGGTAAACGATTTTCTAGGAACGTGAATCCAGTACTATCGTGCTATTTACTAGTGATGAGCGATATTTCACTACCGGTGATTTTTTCACTGTGATTGAAAAATCGCATATGGCAATTGCGATTACATTTTATAAATAGCAGTTCGCTTCTATGAACTGCGATTGCGATAGCAGTGAGAAGCTGTGAATTGGGATAGCAGTTTGAACCTACCACAAACAGACCTCGAGAGCTATTATAGAAATTCAGAGGTATTTGGAACACGGAGTCGGCCGAAGAGAAAATTCGTTACAATGGTGGAAAACAAACAGTTATAAGTACCCATATCTGTCACCAATTGCGCGGAATAAATAATGAGTGAAAGGCGAAAGCGTTTAGACAATGAAAAGGCTAAAATGTTAAAAACATGTCGTAGTTGTATACGTTTAGTCATTTTTAGACACAACCAGAAGTTTCAGCTGCTTATAGAATAATTTAATTTAATTTAATTTTTAATTTCACTTATTGTTAAAACCAAATTTTAAAACTTTTGTGATGAATTTAAAAAATTTGTTTAGAGAAAAAATTGAAAATCTTTACATGGTAGCAATATGCATAAATATTTCATTTAAGCTTTTAATAACACTTAGTAATAAATTATATGAATTTTATTAAAAATGGAGTGATATTTATTTACTATTTATTATTTATTAAGATGCTCTTATAATTATTTCGTTTAACCCAGTATCATTTAATTTAAAACAATAATTGTAATTAATTAATTTCAGAAAAAATTGTGGAATCACCTGGATTATGGAATTCCCGTCATTAGTTTTTCTTTAAAAATATTAAAAGGGGGTATTCGAAACACACGAATCATCAACCACACTAATGGTTATTCCTTGTAAGAAATATGTGAAACCATCATACCAACATACAAATAAACTATGCAATACGCTCTAAGTGTCAGGTAGCCGAACCGCTTCAACATTTGCGAAAATGTAGTGAAAAGAAAGGCGGAAAAACTTGGCTCGAGTTACAGGACCCAAAAAAGAATTTGTCGCCAAAAACAACAAAAGGTTCTGCGAAAGACTTATGATCCTTTGAGCGATGACAACGGGGATTATCGCATCGCGTTGTCAAAAAAGTCTTGCGGTATTTTCGCTAGTTGGCGGTGAGAGCGCGTAGTTCTAGTTTTTTCGTCGTATCGGGGCCTTTTTGGAAAGCTCATTTCACGCGCTAACACGTGTTTGCTTGACTGTCGTTTCTTTTAAGTCGTTCGTGAGTTATAGCGTCGCAAACATGGAGGAAAATAAAGAGAAAATACGGCATATTTTACAGTACTACTACGTTAAAGGCAAAAATGCATCTCAAACCGCCAATAAAATTTGTGCAGTTTATGGACCCGATACAGTTTCCATTTCCACCGCACAACGATGGTTTCAACGTTTTCGTTCTGGTGTAGAGGTGGTCGAAGATGCGCCTTGCTCCGGAAGGCCTGTCGTCGAAAATTGCGATAAAATCGCTGAATTGGTCGAAAGAGACCGGCATAGTAGCAGCCGTAGCATCGGTCAAGCGCTGGGCATCACATCAAAAAAATTTTATGAACAATTGAAAATTCAATAAAAAATACCTCAAAAAATACCGCAAGACTTTTTTTGACAACCGATTATATGAGATATATGACGACAATTGCATAAAGACAGCGGCCATGTTGTACGTATGGACGAAAGCACTCCAGCTCTGAAAGTATTCGACGCAGTATCCGCTGGGGAGCAGAGGAAGAGGCAGACCTCTACTCCTTTGGAAAGACCAGATAGAGAAGGAGCTGAGTTTGCTTGGAATCTTCAATTGGCACCACATTGCAGAAAGAAGAAACGAATGAAGAAAGGAGCTGGTGTTAATTCGGCTATAATCGTGTAAGCGGTTTCTACGCCAATAAATAAGATGAAGAAGCCCTACACATAGTAGGTAAACCGCATGCCACTCTTGCCTTATGGGAGGCTTTCAGAGTTTATCCAAATATCGATGATATATTCAATGCCGAGATTTTGTCACCTGAATTTCAGTTGGGTCAAAAACCCGAAATAATTCAATTGCAAAACTTATAGTTTTATAGTAAAGTTATGGCTTTACAAAAAGTTGGAAACGAAATACGTTTTTTTTTCTATCTGATTACAAGAAAAAATAGGAAAGGTGTCCAAGAACATTATTTCAACGTTGCATTTTTTTTGAGTGCTACAAGCAACCATTAAGTGAAACGATCACGTTTTATGGCAAAATGTTACGAGAGTAGAAAGTATAACAAGTATAGTTTAATTTGGCTTTATTTAAGTGTTTGTAAATACTTACATCTTCTAATGAAAATAAATTTCTGCCATATTGAAGGGCCTTAGTTTCAAGAATAATGGGAATTCCTTGTTTCCCCGAGGTCATATATGCAGAAAAGTTTCTTGCAAACATTCGGTAAACTAAGGAGGATCATTTTAAATAGTCATGAATATTTAGTTAGTGTGGTTCGTTTTTTAATAATTTTTAGCACACTTACCATCATCATACAGTAATGTATTGGGAAAAGCTGGCATGAGGAAATTTTCTATATATGGTTTGTACATCCTCTCGAAAACTTTTGACATTTTTTGCAATTTCGTCGTTGCAGGGTAAAGATCTTTTAGTAAATCTAAAATTATATATATATGTACACAAATATGGATGAATACGGTACACAGTTATATTACAAATAGTTCGGTTATCAATTGTATTGTTGAAAGTTTTACTATTTTTAGCTACTATCCGTATCTATTGTTATTGTACAAAGAAATTTCGTCAGCATATGAGGCATGATCACAAATGCTACGTAAGTAATTAAAGCATTTCTATTTGATTGTAAATTTAAAAAAATAATCGGCTTACCGGAATTCCAGCAGCTATAAATTGAATTGTCCATTAAGTTTTCAAAATCGTCGCCCAGGATTTCGGATACGACTGTCCCGATCTCATCAAATTTATTACCTTGTGAATCTTCGGGTTTTGTATATACTTGCTTTAGATGTGCAATATTTTTGAAGACAATGTAGAGCCCGAAACTATAGATGGGCATAAACAAAGAAAAAATTAAGTGAATTTCGCAAATTGATAGATAAGGACACTAATATTCAAAATAAAAATAAAAAGAAGCAAAAATGTTAAGACCGATTGAAATTTCTTGCTAGTATTAATTACATCAATGCCCTGTATATTCTCTCATATTTTAAAATAAATTCAGTTGAAATTTTTTTTTTTTTTAAGTATGTGGGGTTATCCTCACACTGAATTTTCAGTATTGTGGAGAATTAAAAAACAACCTTTAAATTAAGGTATGGAAACGTTATTAGGTATTAGATTGTGGTGGGATTAACAAGAGTGGGACACGGCTGTCATCCAATACCCATGTATTGACTTTGCGGGATGCCTTTTCGGAGCCTCATCATATGAGAAACTGAAAAATATAATATATCGAAAGTGTAGCCACAGATCCAACTTGTATCGCTAAGGATCAAAAACGGTCTGTGCCTGGCCTGTCCGTATAACTTAACTTATACCTTGAACAGAAGTTTTACAAACTGAACGGTCGGAATTAAGGTAAGGATATGGACAAGCTTTTCGACATGGACAACTTTTTCAAACACCAAATTTAGCATGGGTTATGACTTAAAACAATGATGTCTCTTAAGAAATTTTTCATACCGGATCACTATAGTATATAGTTGCTTATAAGGGATTTTTTATATTTGTGAAGGGTTTTATAGTTTCCATGCAATCGATTGTAGTGGGTTTTAAAGCATTAAAACTAGTCTCCGACTGTCAGTCGACAATCATATCCCAAATATATAGTCCCAAATATATAGTGGTAAGTTCAACTGATGCAAATAAGCCGTTGAATAAATTTTCCTGCTTCGTCGTTCACAAATCCCTGAAATAAATTAACTCTGAAATAATAAAAGTCAGTCAACTAAGGGATGGTAATTTGCTACTTCTAGTTAAAAATAGCACTATCGCAAAAAAATTTACGACAACAGAGCAACTCGTGGGAATATGCAGTGTAAAAATTGAGCTCCACAAAATTTAAACTCATTCAAAGGTACTATTTACGCTTCGTGCCTAAACGATATTTCCGGCAATGAAGTAATTGAGAACGTGAAAGACCAAGGTGTCATATCGATTTATAAATTTCCAAAATACATAAATGGTCAACCAACTGCAAGTGGTGTAGTCCTCCTAACTTTCGATCGCTACTCCCTACCGGAAAAAATTGATGTTTCATGGTATACAACAAAGGTAAGACCATACTACCAGAATCCCATGAGACGCAGAAACTGACAATTACTTGGTCACACAAAAAAACGCTGCAACAAGATCCCTACTTGCGATACATGTGCATTATCAACCCACAATCCCTCACCCTGTAATCGCAGTCTCTGTGCAAACTGTTCTGCTGATCACCCAGCCTCAAGTAAACTGTGTCCAAAGTTCATTCAAATAAAAATATAATTACAATTCAAACTGACATTAAATGCTCTTTTCGCGAAGCAGTAACTATCCATAAAGCACAAATATCACCTGTTTTGAATTCTTCATCTCCCTCATTCGCCAACGTTATTAACAACCCAACAAACATAACTCCCACAAACTATCAACAAAACACTCAAACAAAAGAGCAAATCTGGCTCTCCTCTCTTACTCCACCTACAACTTCTAACTCTAAGCACAAACAACGAAGAAAATGTATCAACCACTATAAATCAAATAAATTCAACTCTCTCGCTTCCAATAACAACTGCAGTCGAAAACTCAGCTGTAACACCTTTTGCCTACAATGCAACAACCTCACTCATTTCAAACTTGATCACCAACCTCAGTAACACTCCCGCCGCCCCATTACCCACACAACCATCATCACAAAATAGATTATGAGAATTCTTCAGTGGAATTTGAAAGGTCCATTTAACAATTATCCAGATTTAAATATACTCATAAACGAATTTTTACCACACGTAATTGCATTACAGGAAACTCACCTCCCAGCAAACAAAACAGAATATACTCCTCACAAATACATTGGTTATTTCCATAACCTACCATAAAACAAATCAGCTAAATAAGGCATTGCCCTGTTTATCAAAAAACATATGAAACACAAACGTATCCCAGTCTTTTCCAACATTTCCGCCATTGCTATAGAAATTAACATCGGTTTCAAATTTTCCATAGTCACATGCTACATCCCTCTGAATCAAAAGTTTAATGCAGGAGAACTTATAGGTGTCATTAACGCTGTTCCTGCACCCACAATAATTATTGGAGATTTTAATGCTTGGAGCCCCCTATGGGGATCTACCGTCTCAAATGGAAGAGGTAAAATAGTGGAAGATGTCATTCTCTCAAAAAACTTATTTGTTCTTAACGATAGATCACCAACTTACTTTTCCTCCCACACAACTTTCACTCACATAGACATTGCTCTTTGTTCAGCTTCCATAGCCCATAAACTCTGTTCTTATACTCTAGAAGACCTTCACAATAGCGACCACTTTCCTATCATAACTACCCTCATCAACTCGATGCAATACATCGTTAAGCCGAGATCAAAATTTCTTACAGAAAAAGCTGATTGGTTAAAATATTGCTCCCTGCTCAACACATCAGCAAGTGCTGAAATAGAAGAATCACAGAAGAATCAAAAATAAAAAATATTATTCGATCCGCTGCACATATCTCAATTCCCCAAACCAGTACAAAAAAATTTACCGCCAAACTACCGTATTGGTCCGATCTATTAACTATCTTGAGAAATACAAAACAAACCCTTTGGTCTAAATTCAGACCGAACGTAACAACTGAAAACTTAATTAGTTACAAAAAAGCAAACTCTAACTTCAGAAGAGAACTAAAGTCTGCTAAACGCACAGCCCTTGAAAAATTAACAGCTAATATAAAACCCACTTCAAGCTCTAAAAAAATATGGAATGACATGAAAACTCTTTCAGGAGGACATAAACAAAATAAAATGGATTTTATTCAATCCCCCGTAGGTCCCATTTACGATCGCCAGCATATTGCAGAAAACTTTGCACAAACATGGTCAAACAACTCCAAAAATTTCAACTTTCATCCGAATTTTGTTACACTTTCTAATCAAATCATTTCTCAAACATACCACAACCCATCCTCGTGTTTCGAAGCTACATTGATAGAATCTCCCATTACATTAGAAGAGTTCGATTCTACTATCAGCAAAATGTCCGGATCAGACAAAATTTCCTACCCCCTCCTAAAAAATCTTCCATACTCTTTAAAAAGAGACTTATAACCCTATACAATAACATATTAAAGCAGGGTATTGTACCTCAAGAATGGAAAAAAGCTACAATTATTCCAATCCCTAAACCCAACAAATCGAGTCCTTCAATTTCAGACTTCAGACTTTCAGTCAAAGTTTTGGAAAAAATTATATCAAAGAGACTCATGTGGTATTTAAAACAAAAAGGACTGATAAGCCCCAAACAGTTTGGTTTTCAAAGTGGTCTTGGCGTCATTGACCCACTTCTTTACTTTGAACACCACGCTACAACAACAATATCCACCAAAAATCACTTGTCCGTCCTCAGTCTAGATTTTGAGAAAGCATTCGTTAGAATTGGAGCTCATTCGATATTACAAGAATTAAAAAAATGGGACATTSGAGATAAAATGTATAATTTCATAACGTCATTCCTTTCAAATCGTAAGATTACTGTAAGTGTTAATAACCACAACTCCAACATATACCCCCTACATAATGGCATACCCCAAGGATCTCCCCTTTCTACAACATTATTTATTATTGCCTTTAATCAATTAAGCAACTTAATAACCTCATACCGATGTGTAGACCACATCATCTACGCAGACGATGTTTTAATTTTTTCGGCTTTAAAAAACTTAACCCAAGTAAAAATCATTTTTAGCAACATCCTAACTGAAATAGGAGAATGTACTAAAACGTCAGGAACAAAATTTTCTGCAAGCAAAAGCGCAACATTTCACGTTTGCAGAAAAAGAAAATGCACCTTCCCTAACCTATCCTTCGAAAACACACAAATTCCTCACACTACAACTTTAAGAATACTTGGCTTAATTTTTGATAAAAAACTAACATTTAAGGAATATTGTAAATATCTTAGATTAAGTTTACTTAATAGACTAAACATTATAAAATTTCTCTCTTCAAAGCACTGTCATATCCATATCTCAACTCTTAAATATTGTAAAAACATTGATGTTGTCATGTCTATGGACACTGTTCTAAATCCCATCTCGCACTCATTGAAACCCCTTATCACATAGCGGTAAAAAGGAGCATTCGAGCATTCCCTACTTCTCCAACCAAAGTGGTCTTAACTGAAGCAGGCCTACCCAGCATCCATCTCCGAACAAAGCAGAATACAATGATGCTCATACCAAAGCTCCTCCAGTGCAAAAACTCCCTTTTGTTTAATGCGATGAAAACATATCGTACCACCAAAAAACCATCCACGATCGTACAATGTATAAACTTTATAAAAAAGCTTGACATAATATCAAGACCACAACTAATAAAGGAGAACACTCATCCTCACTGGCTGACGTTAAAATCATCCATAATAAGTACGTTATTCAAGTATCAAAAATCAACCACCAAAGCAGAACAATATATCCAGCTATTTAACGACGCAGTAAACACTTATAAAGCAGAGTGGAAAATTATATACTCAGATGGATCAAAATTGGACACCCACATTTCGTTTGCAGTGAC